TCTACTGAGTTGCAGCTGGCTTGTCAAATTCAGTTCAGACAGAGAGGAACTCTGCTGAAAGTCCTATTTTGGGTAGGTATAAAAACCTGACCCCATGTATGGGGGGAATCTTGTTTTACTAAAGTTTGTTCATTAAATTACCCAATTAATTGCAAAAATTTATTTGCTGAGAATCACATTCATTTGTTACAGAATAATTACTCACATAATTTTTTGTGAATCAAGATTTATTTTATTTTCCAAATATATTCAATAATTTTCATATTAGATATTTTTATAAAAAGATTTTCAAATAACTTGCTAATATTAATTGAATGTATTGTCCTGTTATATTGTGAAAACAAATAATTTAATCTTCTGACACTTTAAAAAACAGTTTTCTTGGCATTTTATCTTCAATTGCCAAAACCCATTGAATTTCTTCTTTTCCTTTTAGAGACAGAAAAGGGAGGTATAGATTTTTAAATTTTGCTCTTTCCACAAGGGTGGGCAGAAAAGTACATAGGCTGAATATGAAGGAGAGTGTTAAAAGAAGACTGTTGGTCAGAAATGTCATTAACAGTAATGACATCATCATCACTGTGACACTGGTTCCCAGCAAGTGTTTTTTCATGTTGGGGAACAGATGATAGGCAAATCAAGAGACTAGGGAGGGGTGATCAACCAATTCAAAGTTACAATTATGCACAGCACCCACTGAAATCAAGAACTTATAAAACAAGACCTCTTTTGTCAGTTTTTCTGGGCATTTGATCTTGATAGTCTTTCATAACTGCTCCAGCAAGTTGGCATGGTACTCTCCATTGATGGTGTGACCATTTTGAAGATAGTCAATAAATACAATGCTTTTGCATCCCCAAAAAACTGAGGCCATCACCTTCCCTGCAGATGAAACAATCTTAGTCTTCTTTGGAGCAGGTGAGGAGGGTTGTTTTCCCTGCATGGGTTCTTCCTTTGTATCTGGCTCAAAGTGATGAACCCAACACTTATCCTGGGTTAGGAAACATTCAAGGAAACCAGTTGAATTTGCCTCAAACAATGTCAAATTTTCCTAAGTTGTGATCAACTTGATGTACTTTTGATCAGGTGTCAGAAGACATGGCACTCACCAAGCAGAAACCTTTGTTATGCCAAGTTCATTGTGCAAAGTATTCTCAATTCTCTCACATTACATTATAATAGCACTGGCTATTTGATTTATAGTCAATCACCTGTCATTCATCACCATCTGGTGAACATGATCAATGTTTTCCTCAGAAATGGCAATTGCAGGATGTCCAAGTCTTTGGTCATCTTCAGGACTCTTTTTTCCCCTACCAAATTCAGTTGCACACTTTTATACTGTTGATAAAGCTGGAGGGTCATCCTCAAATGTAGCAACCATGTCAGCATGAATAATTGATAACACCACAATGCCAAATGTTGACCATTTTCAAGTTGCTACTTGTTACTTTTGATGTCAGATGTCAGTTTACTTGGAAAGAAACAAGTTATTAAATAGTTGAAATTAATGCATGAAAGATTTTACAGCTCTAGCATCACTCCTTCAAGGGTGGGCTGAAAACTTCATAAGCTGACTAGCTTATGAAGTTTTCAGCCCACCCTTGTACTTAGTTCAATATAGGGTCACTTTCAACTATAGATTTTTCCATTTTCAATATACCCATAAATCTTATAAAAAATAAACAACTGTTTTTTTTTTTTTTTTTACATCAGTATACAAATACAGGGTGTCCTTGACTTACAACAGAGTTCTGTTCCTACAATTGTTGGTGAGTAAGCATTTATATAACTCATCTATGCAAACACAATAGTAAAATAATTTAAGGAGATAATGACACATTTCTATAACATGTTAACATAATTAGGACTAAAAAAAGCACATAGAAGTCATTCCTGGCCACAATTCTCTTCATACTTTGGTAGCATCTATCTGCTATGCCATTCCCCGATGGCACATACACTCATCACAGCTGAAAGTGAACTTCCTACACATCAAAAAAACTGCTTGACTTGCCTACTATTGTTGTCTGGATAATTTCCTCTGGCAAACCTAGCTCAAAAAATATTGCCTCTAATTGGTGAATGACACTTGAGGTATCTTGTTGAAGTAGTCATCACCAGACTCATCATTTTTGAGTACTGCACACACTGGTATTTCATCCGTGGTGAAGCACACTTCTGTTCAATTAACGTGAACTTTGCTTGACAATTTGATGGTGTCCATCCCCAGAAGAAGGTTGAAATGAAAAGTTTTCCCTCCAATGGCCAACACTTTAACTGTAACCATATCCATACCATTTACTCTTAGCTGAACCCTGCCATAACTCCACAATATCTCAGGGTCTTTTTGTCTAAATATGGAGATTAAAATTGGTTTCATCCATATAAAGAATTGGCACACTTTGGGACTGAAATGCTAATAAAGCTACTGCGTAATCCTTATGTTTTGCCTTATTGACATTATTATTGGCAGATTCTGGTTCATAATGAACCGCTTTTAAAGTAAAGGCCATGGAGTCCAAGTGCTTTCTTATGCATTCTTTCATCACACGAACCTCATACTTTTCAACCAACTTATTTACAATGTCTTGAAGAGTGACCCTAGGAGAGTTTTCAATTAATCCGGCCATAAAATTCTTATGCTCTTGCGTAATTTTATATTTTCTTGCTCCTCCCCTAGTGTCACTCTTATCAGCACCCTGGTCTAACCAACAGTATGCTGTTGGCACAGGCACACCAATTGTTCTTGCCAGGTCTTTCCAATTTCCTGCTGTGCATGTGCAGCTAAAATCTGGGCTTTTTTTTTCATCAGCCACAGTTTTCTTGAGGTGAGTCCTCTTTGGAGCTGTTGCTAATTATTCTTCAGCTTCTTTTGTAGAGGTTTCTCCAGCATCATCATCAATCATCATTTTTGCCCATACGCGACTTTCTCCTCCTACTTTTACTGTAGGCTCATCCAATGCTTTCTTGGCCTCTAAGTTGTTTGTATTTTGTTTTTGTCTTCATCTATATAATGAAGGCGAACAGTTAATTTCCTTACTTATGGGGTAAATTAATTGAAAAAATAATTTTCAATTTACCAAAAAAAAAAAAATCTCAATTTGAAGTTGTTTATTCTTATTTTGAAGTTGATTGTTTAGGTTTTTGACATTTTCTCAATTTGAAGTTGATTAATCCATTTTGAAGTTGATTGTTCCATTTTGAAGTTGATTGTTCCATTTTGAAGTTGATTGTTCCATTTTGAAGTTGATTGTTCCATTGTGAAGTTGATTAATCCATTTTGAAGTTGATTAATTTTTTTACTTGAAAATAAGTCCATTTTGAAGTTGATTATTATCATTTTGAAGTTGAAAAGGTATAGTATTTGGTCTAGAGCCATTATTTCCATGCAGGAAGATGTGTAAGTGAGCTGCTTTTTGAATTAGCAATCCAGTCACAAATCCACATTCCAGAATGGTGCTGAATAACTGAGATAGCTAGCTCAACTGTACCAGATACACATCTGTCATCTTGCTTTTGTCTAAGCATTGCATATTAAACTTTTCATAGTCAATAAAGGATTCTATTGCAAACACATCAAGGAGGGCACTCTTTATTTGCTTCACATCTGTCTCAGTCCGTACTTCAGCACCTAACTGTTGGTAGACCACAAATTCACCACAAGTAAGTTGTAACAGAAAGAATTGGTTTACTGATTTCACCAAGTAAAGAACATACACAAACTTAACTTTCTCAATCCATTCAACTATTGATTGTCCTGTAGCTGAACTGTTGAATTCTGAGATGAGTTTGATGTTGAAAGCTTTGTCCTCCATCTAATAGCTGAAAGAGCTTTTAGCAAAAATATAGCAAACTGTCACAGTTGCAAATCCCCTTTTCTAGCAGTTGACTTGATTTCCCTTCTCTTGTTCACTGCCACTGACTTGATATGCATTCAAAGGCAAGTACACTAATCCATAGGCAGTATATCCAAGTTATTCCATCAACCTCATAGGTAGCACATCTAGGCTATTTCATCAACTTTTCTGTTATGAATGATGGAATGAATCTGCCCTGGTTTTTCTTTGTATTATGAAACCAATGATATCGGCTAGACACACTCTCAGCCCTTTTGAAGGTAAGTGGATTTCTTCCGCACAGGTTAATAAAGAATGAAATGACAGAAAGTCCTCAGTAAGCAGTAACAGTTTCATCACCAGGAAAATTAAGTTTTCCAGTCAGGGTTATCCCACAAGGTAATATTCTAGCAGATTAATGAATTTGGTGATATAGTAATTGTGAGTTTAAGCCATGAGCTGGGAGTGTATACTTGGACATGGTGGAGCAGTACTAAATAATAACTAGATGAGATATCCTTTGACATAATCAGTGCAATCCTGTAGATTAAATAAAGGTTCAGTTGGAAATTTCCTGATGAAGGGGTTGAATCATTGATAATAACAATAATAATGAGGACAATAGTCTTCATGTAAATAATTTTAAGATCAAGTAGTATAATTTAGGAAGATATATACAATTTATATTTTTTCTATAATGAGAAAGTGGCAACTAAAATAAATGTCTTTTTATGAATTAATTCAGTAACCAAAATTTATTTTCTGATTTAGACTCTGATTGGAATTTGACTCAACACAACTTCTACAGAAAAGGGAATTTCTGAACAATGAGACTGAAAAACCTGACCATCAGCTTGTAAAATGTTTGAACAGGAATTTCCTTCATTTTTGATCCCAGAAAAAAATCATCTGAAGTGGAGTGGAAAAAAAGAAGAAATAATCATATGTCATTTTGAAGAGAATAATCCTTCAGAGTACATTCTTTGGATGCAGGCTGGACAGAAAACCCCACCTCTCCCTCAATATCTGGACCCTAACTATAACAGCAACATATGGCATAACTTTAAAAACCCTCTGGGCTTGAAGCTCTCGGCCAATAATTGTACAATTTCTGAATCAATTGCTATCATGTACCCTCTCACTTTGCCAACATATTCTCAAATGGGGAAGCTTAGTTGGGAGAAATTCCTTGAAGAATCTTCCTACTTGAAAAATTGTAGCTGGAAATCATGTATCTTGAAGAGGCCACCAAGTAATCATAAACAACTGGCACAATTGAAGTTACTGAGTGAACTGAGAGACCCACCACAAAATGAAAAGGGTAAGGAAAGTTTTTATATACAAATTTCACAAATATCATAGTTTGGTCATGATTGTAGCCAGAACTTTGGAATATTTTTAAAAGTACAATCTTCACAAGTGGATGCTGAAAATGTCTTTGCCCAAGCCACAACCCCAAATCCCTTTTCTGATGTTTGATCATTAAAATACTGATTTTGGAAAGTAGACTTTTCAGTACCTCCACATGAATACTTAACATATGTTAGCGAGAATAAACAATATAATATAATGATAATTTCCAGTTGTTGATCCTAACACCAGCTACTGAACTAATTAACTAAAAATATTAGGAGGATAAGCCAAATAACATCTTTATTCAAAATTCCATCAAGAATTTCAAAATGAAATGTCTTAACTTTGACATCTCAGTGCAATGAAATTCTGTCTGGAGGAATAACTTATTTATGCCTTGACTAATCAATTTTTACTATCAATATAACCCACCATTTTTAACTGAATTAACAAGAAATGAGACAAAAAATAAAGTCTACCAATAAGTTAATCTGTTTACATCTAGTTATTTCATTTTTATTTTTGTTACATTTTTTTATAACATTGCTCACAAATATGGAGGACAAATCATTTAGTCATAGAACTTCAAGAAACTCTGACTAAGCTTAAATACCATTTACTGGTTTACTTTTGTAATCTAATAAAGAATTGTCTGTGTGGATTCAAAAACTTGGGTTTCCAAGTTCAAATCTCATTGGAATATTATTCTTTATTTTTAATTCATGCTTCTTGTTATTGTAGAATATAAAACAAAAACAAAATCCCTGAGTATTCCAATAAAAATCTAAAAAAAATAATACTAGTGAAAAGTTAACAAAACAAAAAAAAACATAAATAGAAACTAGCACCAACAACATCACCTCTGAAAAGAGATATAAAAAAGATTGTTTTTATACATTTCTAAATTATGTTTTGCAAGCTGGCAAAGTTTTAATTTAATCGATATTTTTCAAATTGTATTTAATGTCTTGCAATAGTAACCCATATTCACCTTAATAGGCCAATAATATAGTATCACTTATAGTTGAATTTGTAGCAGTTCATGTTTTTTTATAGCCTTAAAAATAGTCTTTCTTCAACATTTTCTTCGATAAAGTTCATACTTTAAGGTCAGTCAAAATGTAACACCTGTTCATTTTACACATCTAACACTTTTGCCCAGGCCCCTCAACCTCTGGCGTCTTACTCTCGGGGTTGAGGTGTCTACTCGGTCCTAACCGAACTTAAGGGAGTGGCCAGAGCTCCCCTGAGCATCCGTAGATTATTCGACTAGTCTGCTGGTTTAATCCTGCTTCCTGCCCACATTGTGATTTGTTTGATCCAGAAAGCAGAAGTAATGTTCGTCCATTCACGGTCGACTGATGTAGACACGGCTGGGGAGTCTGCGCTAAGAAATTTAGAATGCAGCAAAAAAAAATTAATATCTGCAGAAAGCCAGACAAACATCGATTCAATGGTTGAATTGTTAATGTCTTTTATATAGCAGTAAAGAATAGTAGAGAAGAGAAACTGGTTACAGAAAAGAAAAGTAAAAAAAAAAACTCATACACTGGATTATAAACAGAGAGAGAGTGTATGTGCTTATCTTGTTAAATCATTTCAGAACGATATATGACTCTTACGATGGGGGCGGATAAAAATTTCTGTGCAGGGCTTAAAGTTATAGTGACGTTCCTCCTCCCAATGCTCACCCGGGCCAATTCTCTCTTCTATCTTCAAGAATTTTCTCCTGTCTGTCTTTTTCAGCATAACTACGCGTTTATATAGATCAACCCGGCTGGTTATAACTGACCCTCGGCCCTACTACTTTGCACGCAATTATCACAGGGTTCTGTCTGCTTCAACCAAAATCATGTGAATTCCAAAGTTCCTTCTAGCTTACTCAGTTCTATTTCAATTTTTAATCGATAAAAATTATTTCGACCATTTCCATTGTCTACTGATGACCCAGATTCAATGGGTATAACTTCTGCCCTAGATCAGATTTAATTTTGCTATTCAAATCTTCTTCAATTTCACTAAAAAAAAAATATACGTGTGTGTGTGTGTTTCCCAGACTCTCTCTCTCTGTCACACACATATTAGAATTCAATTTTTCTTTTTTTTTTTTTTTTTTTTTTTTTTCAGTAATCCACCACAGTTTCTAGAAGCTTGAGGGGAAAATCCATGGAGTTAAATCCTCTATTCTTACCCATAATCCTCTTTCAAAATGGCTGCTAATCTGGACACATAAAGAAAGCAAAGAGCTATTATTTCTGGTTTTGGCCAGAGAAAGTGCTGCAAATACTTAATGAATATATATGGAAAACCTGCAAAGTGAGGAGGTGGGTTAGCAGAGTTAACTGTTATGGTAGAATGAAAGGTAAAATTAACCTTGGTGACAGGATTTGCAGTGATAGGCCAGCTGGTGCTATGAATAAGGATAAACAAGCTGATTCACTTATAATGATAAATGAATTACTACTGTAAAACTCTGTGAAAGTCACCAGGTGAGCCATGGTAGTACTTGGTTTAAGGCAGTCTCTTTACAACTCAGTGGTTTGTGCAAAGTTGTTTGCCAGAATGCTGAAGGAGCAGAGGGTTCTTGCTGCCCTAAAGTTTCTAGAGGTGCACAATGGATAGCACTTAAAGAAGAGTGGTTCTCCAGTGAGGCAAAAGAGGAACCTCACACATGACTAAGAAAGTAGTCAAGAAGCTTCAAGTTGGATATACATGCTTTCATTCAAAGCTGGCATAACATGATTGAGAAAGAAAACTATATTGAGGATGATTTCTGTGCTCATTTTGCTATACTTTATATGATTCTTCTATTAAGCCTACTGTAATTAAAGAAAAACAAGCATTAGTTTTTGATTGACTCTCATAATATTTTGATAAATATTACACATATTATCTAATTTATAATTGCAGGAAATATTTTACCTCACAAGAATTACAAGATTTATCCTTCAAAAATAATTCAACCAGTGCCTACAAGATCATCACCTTTGCCTATATTTGGTGTACCAAGAGATTTATTTGGCAGAAAAATTGAACAAAAGAAGAAAAAGCAATGCACCAAATTGACATCAAAAAGAACAAATATTCCACAAAATCCTACTTTGACATGATTCAATTAATCATAAAATCCAGCAAATTAAAATACGTTAGATTTTATTATACAAGTTAATGTTTTCACAATAATATTAGTATCTGTGCAAAATTTTAATGATATATTTATGTGGTAAATATATCATGTTGATTTCAACTAATAATATCTGATTTTATTAGAACTAATTACAATAACTTATTTAGTAGTGTGAGATGTTATACAACACAAAGGTTGGTCCTATTGTTAATATATATATATATATATATATATATATATAAATATTTAATGAAAAAAACAGACCACTTTAAGGTACCATTACAATAATTTATTTCACCAAAATCCTTTTGAAGGACTCTGGATCATCAGGTAACACTTCCAACAACGAAATGAAAGGAAAAATGGGATTAGAAATTGATGGGTAATGTAATTTTTGTAATTTAACAGGGAGGGTTGATCAACGAGACAAGGTATAGTATAGAGAGGGTAAATTTCATATTTCTCTTAAGCATGTTTTATATTGGGGTAGGAGGAGTGACCTAATCGTGACCTATTTAGATGGTTAACTTAACGGAAATGATATATAGGAATGGGTGGGTAGTAGGGGGAAAAGAAAAAAAAAATGGAAAGAGAGAAGACAGACAAGTAATACAGATATATCTAAATGAGTGTTACGGCAAAGAGAGAGGGGAGAGGGAAGTGAATCGAAAAGGCTGTAATTTTGTTTTAACAAAATTATGTAAAATATAGATTTCAATGCTTGATAGAAATTTAGATGTCTAAAAAAATGATGAATGTTATCAATTTAAACATTTAAGTTTTTTAAGTAAATAGTTTAGGGACTTAATATAAGTTAACTACTATTTTTTTAGCACATTTTTAATATAAGTTAACTACTATTTTTATTAACGATTTAACGAGAACATATTAAAGAAATATTTAAAATTATAATAGTTTATTTACCCGACCAATTGTACTTTCATAATATTGTAAAAAAATTTTGGTAACAATAACATCTATATTAGTTTTACCTTAAATCTAATTTATGAATGCAATTTTTCTTTATTATTATATCGGTAATCTTAATTGAGGTTTAGGTTTCATTATTTAATAATATTTGAGGGTAATATTAAAGATTTTTTTTTTCTTCTTATATGTATCTCACAAAAACATATTCATGCAAATCCACATATACATACATCCATTTACATGTGCAAATACACACAGACATACGTGCAACAATATACGCAAATGTTCATCCATCTTTATACATAAATTACATATACACACATACATACACATCAATCATTACCTATATTTTAACATTTGAAATTTATTTAGATTTTAGTTTGATTTTATAGTTAAAGTTTAACTTTAGGTGACTTCTGAAGTGCTTCATTATTAAAGGAATTTCGTTAATATTATTATTACTATTAATAGTTAAAGAGTGGTATATTTAAAATTATCAATTTTAAGATGAAACTCCCTTAAGAAGATAAAAATACACTCTCCAAAATAAATTATAGAACATTAAAAGAGAAAAAGCAATTTTAAAATACCAAGAGAATGACCCAAGTACTTCCAATTAAAAATATTCCATACACGTATAGACACATACATACATACATACATACATACATATATATATATATATATATATATATATATATATATATATATATATATATATTTATATATATCTATTAATAATCTATCTAATTATCCATCCATCTACATATACATATATACATATAGGTATACTCATATACATATATACACCCTTATATACAATACAACCATATATACACATACACACATATATATATATAAATACCTACATACCTACACACGATTATATACAAAAAAAGCATATAAAAAAATTCTACCCATAACTATCCACACATGCATATGTATTTATATTACAATGTTATACATCTAATCACAAATATATTACAAATATTAATTCTAAGGTATATACATCTACGTACATATACAGATTACAAGTAGATTAATATTCAAATTACTACACATATATAAATATATGTATACATATATATATCCGTACATACACACACAAAATACATACACATACACCTATACACATTCACAAACACATGCCTGTACACATACATCCACAGATATATGCAAAATACACACACATATATATATATATATACACATATATACAATGATACCTAGCACCAAAAATAACGTTAGTACTTAAACATACCTCATACTTATATATTTATACTCACACATATGCATATATATATATCCATACATATACACACATACCTCCATACACATGTGCCCACAATTAAAAGAGTACATATATCCACATAGACACCCTTATCCAAAACGTTCATACATATATATATAAATAGATAAATTCACATATAAATGTTCATCTGCGTACATATCAACAAGCATAACATCCATGTATACATACATTCATTTCAAAAAACCAAATTAATATTTTCCCTTTTTAAATAGTTGTTTCTAAACATACTTCGTTAAGTTGAGGTGGTTTTTATGTCTGCATTTACAAATCAACTCGTTATGCTTGTTCAGCAGTATGTCCGGATCCTTATGCTTTATTATTAAGATTTTTTCTTTAATGCACAAATTGCATCGGTCTCTGAAGTTTATCGGAGTCCTAGCTCTCGAGATGATTCTCCATTTTACTTGTGGGGTTAATTTGTTTTCCAACAATTCCCAATAATGCTTAGAAAGTGCAGTTTGGTGTTTCTTTGATTTATATGTGAAGGATTGGCGATGGTTATAAAACCGTTGCTTCCAATTTCCTGCCGATATCCCTATGTAGATCTTCTGTTTGATATCTTCCTTGGGGAAAATTGTAGCCTCGTATATCACGTTTTCGGACAAACATATTCCCTCTACTGGACAAACAGATCCTTCCCTGCAGTTACAGGTAGATTTGGTCTTTTGGCTCGTATTAGGATCTTTTTGTAGTTGATTATGAAATTTATTTAAAATGTTGCTATTGTGGGAGCTAATAATTTTTTCTATGTTGTTCATGCAGAAATAGCTAATTTTTAAATTCATTTTATTGAACATCTTTTTTAATAGTTTATCTTTTTTAAAATGTTTATCTATAAGTTTAAGAAAGTACTTTCCTATATTAATGTTCGAAAGCTTACAGAAAGGTGGGTTGAACCATATAATTTTCCTTTTTCTATTTTTAGATTTAGAAGATGTGTTGTTAATAGATTTATCTATATAAGTGAGTGTTTGTTTGAATTTGCTTTTTAATAGGGCTTGATTGTATTTTGATTTATTTTGATAAAAGATATTTTCATTAGAGGATAGTTTATTTATTCTAGTATTTACAGTGTTAGGGATCTGTTTTATAATTGCCATAGGGTGGTTTGAGTCGATTAATGTATATGGGCAATTGGTTCTCCTTTTGGAAGGGTTTATAAGTGTTATTTTCGAGATCAAATGTTACGTCTAGAAAATTTACTATTTTCAGGTTCTATGATATTTCTATTTTAAATCCTATATATTTGAATGCCTTAATTATTTTCTTCTGGAGTTGGGATGTTAGAGGTCCATTAGAGTTAGGTATAATAATGAGACCATCATCCCTGTACAACCACTACATTTTGCGGGTTAAGGAATCTGCTCAGAATATCTAAAAATATATCCTATTAGGTCTGCTATTTGAGCAGAATCAAATGCTCCCATTGGGACATCGAAATTGTCTTTGTTCTTTTTAAACCAAGTAGTGTCATTAACTCTCAGTACAGATTGTCTGGAATCCATTATGATTTTTATTTCCTCGTCAGTAATCTCTGTATAGTTTTTAGCAAAATTTAAGCCATTTTCCAATAACACTTTAGAAATGGAGGGGTAAAAATCGATAATGACTAATTGGATAAAAGTGGCTTTATTTTTAGATTTTATATTTTGGAAGCAGTTAATGGCGTCAGATGAATCTTTCCAAAGGTTTAAGGGATACTTTTCTAATATAGATGTGTTTATTCTTTTTAGAATGTTTCTGGAAATTATTCCTAACTCTGATTTGGAGGGATTTATTAGTCTGGAATGTATATTATTTTGAAAGTTAGGTTTATGGTCTTTAAAAAGTAGGTAGGCATTTTTCAAGTGAGTAGTGCCCATTCTATCAGCAATATTATGTTTAAATGCGAATTTGGCGGTATCTCTGTATATGGAGGATAGGTGTTTGGAGTTATTATCTTTTTTATAAGAGTTAGATACTTTGTTCAGAATCAGATGATTGTATTCCAATGGATTAATCTTGTAAATGTTCTTGGATTTATCAGCTCTGATCCATAGTTTTTTAGATTTTTTGATGTTTGTGGTGTCCTTTTTAAGATTGGATTGGAATGAGTTGTATTTTTTTCTAAAAGATATTATGTTGATTAGATTAATTAAGTCCTTTTCAAAAGGTTCCAATAATTTATTGCAGGGAGGTGTGCTTTGGGATTTTAAGTGAAAATTGTTATTAAGATTTGTAGGTTTATTTTGGGGATTAAAATGGAAGTAAATTTTCCATCTCATCCTTTTGATGAGGTCAATACATTTTTCTGTCAATGATATGGTGAAAGATTCGACAGAGGGGTAAGTAATGTTTTTGAGTGAGTAATCTGGTGTAAATTTGTCCATTTTATGTTGGAAGTGAGGGTCCTTACGGTAAACCGATTAGGGGTTAATCCAATGAGAGCTCAACTTATTTTATAAGGAGCTAATAGTTAAGTTACGAAGAACTTGGTAAACCAAATGGGTAATTCCAAGGAGGATGAAATCCTGAGAGCTCAATGTGAATCCAGAGCTAATATTTAATGAAAAAAACAGACCACTTTAAGGTACCATTACAATAATTTATTTCACCAAAATCCTTTTTGAAGGACTCTGGATCATCAGGTAA